TAAATTTAATCAAGGAGGTGAAAGATTTGTACACTGAAAACTATAAAACATTGAAGAAAAGAATTGAAAAAGACACAGGTAAATGGAAAAATATCCTGTGTTCATGGATTAAAATAATTAAAATTGTTAAAATAGCCATACTACCCAAAGTGATATACAGATTCAATGTAATCTCTAACAAAATTCCAATGAAATTTTTTGTAGAAATAGGAAAAACAACCTTAAAATTCATATGGAACCACAAAAGACTCCGAATAGCCAAAGCAATCTTGAGAAAGAAGAGCAAAGTTGGAGGAATCCCACTTCTTGATTTCAAATTGTATTACAAACAGTATGGTACTGGCATAAAAAAAGACACATAGACTCACTGGAGAGAGTCAAGTGCCCAGAAATAAACCCAAGCATAAATGGTCAATTGATTTTCAACAAGGGTGTCAAGATATGCAATGGGGAAAGGATAACCTCTTCAATAAATACGACAGCATGTGGGAAAACTGAATATCCACATGCAAAAGAATGAAACTGGACCCTCATCTTACACTATACACAAAAATCAACTCAAGATGGATTAAAGACTGAAATGTAAGACCAGAGACTATAAAACTCCTAGAAGAAAACACAGGGAGAAAGCTCCTGACATTAGCCTTCAAAATGATTTTTTGCATGTGACACCAAAAGTTCAAGCAACAAAAGCAAAAATAAACCAGTGGGACTACATCAAATAAAAAAGCTTCTGCACCGCAAAGGAAACATTCAACAAAGTGAAATAGCAACCTACAGATTGGGATTAAAATATCTGCAAGCTATACATCTGATAAGGGGTTAATATCCAAAATATATAAGGAACTCTTACAACTCAACAGCAAAAGGCAAACAGTCTGATGAAGAAATGGGCAAAGGACCTGAATAGACATTTTCCCAAAGAAGACATAGAAAAACACTGTCTTCAAGACAGAAGTTTAAGTTTTAGATTGCAGGGTACTTGGATCCTTCCAGCCTGGGTTGGCAGAGTGTGGTCTCAGGTTCCCAATATTCTGAGCCTGCGTCCCTCAATCTCAAACTCAGTGGGCAAGGAGTCTCCACAAGCCACCTTCAAGTCAGCCTGTGAGCATGACTGTGCACTGGGAATTGCTCTATAGAAAGCTTGGCAAGGTGGAAACTTACAGCAAAAATTTCAGAACACATTAAGCATATGGTCTGACAGCAAAGGAACAAGGTCTTAAAAAAAAAAGAACAAATTAAGCTATTATTTTTTAAAAGTTCCCCAAATAAGCTATTAAGTCCTTCAAAGCACATACACAAATATTTTCCAACCTCCCTCAACAAAAAACAAGCTCTACAAAATCATCCCTCTTGACATAGCTCAAAAAACAAACCAAACAAGTAAAACAAAAACCATCAACTTGGTGTTGCTAGAAATAGGCAAACTACAGTTCCGGTTCCAAAAATTCACTAATTGGGCATGATTTGGTGAGATCAGTCTTTCTCTCTTCACATCTCACAGGGAAAAATAAAAAAAGACGTCAAGAGTACCAGTCTTAACTCTTACGAGTCAGGAAAGAACAGAGAGAAGGAGCCTTAGTAACCTTTCACTTCAGGGACCGAGCGTGTTAAGCCTGCTGCTGCAGGCCTGGTATTTGCCTCTGTCTATCAGTTTGGAAGGAATCATTATTGCGCTGTCATATGACTGAGAGATAGAAACTCCACCGGTATTTTAAAAAGTGACAAGATATCTGTTTCACTGAACAATCCCAGAAGATAGTCTTCATTTTAATATAAAATGTTCCAGATTTACATACCTGAATAGAAAAAAGATACCAACATATAACAAATATACTGCACGCAACAGACTTTTCTCCTTGGTCAAATTTGAAATAAAAGATTTGAAGATCCAAAGCTACCTTAATGCAAATAAGTGCCTGTTGCAAGTATACTGTTTGATGAAATTGGCATACATCAAGTACAATTAGAAAGGTTATTTATAATGAAGAAATACATAATTCTGCATCTTAATGGGGACGACAATTACAGCTGATGGTTGTTAATTAACGTTAACTTCTTTTGCTCTGGGTCTCAGAGATTTCTTATAAGGTCTGTATGCTGGCAATGGACACAACTAATTCTGCAAGGTACAAAAGGGGTAATTATCAGCAACATTTGTGCTCACAACAAATTCATTGGTAACTTGCCCAGCTCTGGCTCCACATTGGAGACCTGAGGATCAAGTAGAATTGGTAAACTCTGACTCAGTGTCCTGGCAGGAAAGGTATTTGTTCAACTTTCTGAGCAAAGGCTCACCTACCCACCAGGTGTTCAGAATGACAGAGAAAAGCCCCTCCAGTTCTCTCTCCTGGTGGAATGGTCTGTGGGTGTTGCCTGTTCCAGGCAAGCAGAAATGCAAGGCATTGTTTAGTTCAGTGGTGCCACCCTCCTGTACCGAGATGCCCACTGTGCTTACTTTCTTGGACAGCTCAGGGGTGTGTGATCAGTATTGGAGGCCGGAAGTAAGATGGAAAGAGAGAAGCACTGCAGGTCTCAGCACAGAAAACTATTATAAAGCCCTCTTTGCTTGTGCTGTAAATTACATATTTATTTTGTTAGCATGAGATAGATGAATATTTCCACATACAAAGGTGCCCTGCTAAAATCAGGATAAGTGATATTAATGTCCTCTGGTCAGTATTATTGAACCTCGAAAGCAATAAACTTTATGCGTCAATAAATATTACATTTGCAACATAATTAACATTCCTTTACTGTCTTTAGCACTTATTACACATTGTAACCACAAGTCTACAATACATTATTCACATTTGGGGTGTCACCAAGTGATGGATTGCTGTAGGAGAGGCTGTCCTTTAAATAAATCAACAAATAAAAATGCAAATGTTAACATTTTCAGCCACAACTTCTCCCATCTTGAATGCAGAATGAAAATTTCACATTACATTGACACCCAGCAGAGAGAACAATTAACAACGTACACTGTGAATGAGAAAGATGACTTTGCCAAGCTAGGTTTTATCACCTGCACATGGACCCACATGGGACTCTTATAGATGCCAGCACTTTTCAGAGAACAAAGGAAACCTGTCGCCCACTGGCATCCCCATCCTTTTCTGCAGGTCTTGAAAATTCTTGGAATTTAGGGTGGACAGGGAACGGACTTTTATTCTTGTTCTCCTCAGTACTTTCAAAGGTTTCTTGGAATGAAGAACAACAGGCTTTCCTCTTGCGTTAAGAGTTTATATGTAAAAGCAGTCTATAAAAAATGCCTTTTCTACACTTTGAAATAAAAATAAATCAAACAATCTTGATTCTGAAGTCTGGAAAGCAACCACTGTGCCTTCCTGGTAACTGATTTTCATAGTACTGAATCTTTTTTTTTCAATTCTGCACTTTGTATAATAGACCTATGATAGGCCATCAAGCACTTCTAAGGATAAAATCTGGTGTGCTGCACATTGTTTTGTTTAGCCAAATGCTCATTATTTAAGAAGCTTCTGAGAATCTGTATTTAGCTGAACTGCAGCATTAAGAACTAATAAAGAATCCTTTTTTTAAGGTTTGTAGATATGAGTCTTCACAGCAATTTTAACCTGGGCTTGTAAAACTCTACAAAGTTGATATGGCCATTTCAGAAAATGTGTGCTGAGGATGTACTATAAAACCTTACTGGGGAAACATTTTATTCTTCTTTTTCATGCTTTTCTCTAAACTGAAGTGCAATCATCAAAACCACATTAGAGTAGTGTTAAAGGTCTCATTGAAGATCTTAGTGTCAAAGATAGGAAAATTCATTAAGTTTGAAAATCCAGATTGTCTTTCCTCTTTACCTATTAACTCCTCCAAAGAAATCCCTCAAGATGAGCTAGGATGGATCCTCTCTGAGCACAAGCATTCATCCACAATGTTAAGTGGTCCAAGGTGGAAGCCGCATCAACCTTTCAGAGCCACAACTCACTGTAGGTCTTTGGCAAAATGCCATGCATGGTAGCATTAAAAATAAAAGAAAGGAGTAATGGACAAAGAATGTGGTAAACTAGTTAAATTTTCTTTTGACTGTGGGTGGCTTCCAAAATAGGGACGTTGTCATTGTCAACTATTATAATATTTAAGATCATGGGCTTTGGAGTCTGAAATGCTGGCTCTACCTCTTACTAGCTATGTGACCTTAGGCAAGTCACTCAATCTCTCTGAACCTTAGTTTCCCGATTTTTAAAATGAGTATGAGAGTAGTACCACCTCATAGGCTGTGATGAAGATTAAATCAGATAATGCGTACAAAGGGCTGGGCACATAGTAGGTGCTTAATAGGTGATAGCCATTATTATTATCCTCTGTGTTAAGAGTCATTTCCCAAAAGTTCTTAATTAAGTCTTAAAATCTGTATTTATCTGATAAGATGCTAGGAATTTAAGTGGCCAATCATATCCCCAAGGAAACATAAACCAAGCCCTTTTGGTGTTGATGTTTATATATTCAGCCTTAAATGCATAATATGGGAGTTGGCTTATTAGATATGAGAAATTTTAATAACATATTTCTTTTCCTGACTCCAGAAAAGGCTGATCAAAGTATTAACTCCTCAAATATCTCTGGTATAAGTAAATGTTGACAGTCACTTAACTGTAGTACAAAACCCACTACAGTTTTTAATATCAATGAATTCAGTTAGTTAAGCTTATAGTCCAAGTGTATAACCATTCCATGATAAGTTGGGAAGGACCTGCTGCTAAACAGATTTTTTGATGAAAGGCAGGATTAGCTTTGTGTTTCTGTGGAAATCCTTGTCAATTGCCATTATCAATTAAGGAAAAGCATGCATAAAGGAAAGGGTTCCATGAGTTCAACCTTGTCATATCTAGATGCTTCCAAATAAGGGCCTCTCTCTTGAGTAGGAGGCATTAACAATTGTCAAGATTTTTCAATACTTATTAAATAGCTCAAAAAAAGTTCTTATCTGCAGAATATTAAAACAAAGTATCCCTGAAACTTACCGGGGGGTGTCATGTTGCAATGATGCTGTGGTTGTGATTACAAGCTCCTTTTGGCTTCCTGTTGTCATAGGAGATGTGGATGCATCTTTTCTAACTTCTGCCATTGTCCCTGCATGAACAATAAAGGAAATAATTTGGGCACTTAATAAAAGGAAAAGTCTATTCTGAGTAATATATTCGTATAGGAATCCCCAAGCTTTAGAAGCAAGCCATTTTCCCCCATGAAATGAAACAATGGCAGATGGAAAACTCAGTGAGTTGTTTTGGTTTTGTAAACATCAGTGATCCATAATATCTTGTTTTTAAAAAAGTGCATTTGTGCAATAACAGACTAACTAGAGATTGTGTTTTTAAACCTGATGGCCTATCAAAGTCCTGCTGATTTGGGTTTATTGTAAAAATGCCCAAGGAGGTAGACTGGTTTATTTTGTTCCTTTTAACTATCAATATCATAAGAAAAGTTCTTTCCTCTCTTTGACAAAATTGATAATTTCAGCACTTTGTACTTCTATACCCTCCAAATTAAATTGATCCTAACCCCAGAACTTTTAAGGTAGACATAAATCTTGAATATTTCTTTTAAAGAACTCAACATGTACGATGCTAAACAAGTAAGATGCAAAAACAAGTAAGATGTTAAAACAAGTAAGATGCTCAACTAACCATTCTAGGGCTGATTTGGTCTTTGTTCCTTTCTAGCAAGAAACGTTTAGTTGATAATTACTTTCTTCTTCTGGAGTGCTCAAGACTAAGATCGCATGGACAGAAAGACCTTTTGTTTTTGTTTGTTTTATAATTATTATTATTTCTAATAATAAGAAATTTATCCTTTTAAAAAAAATTAACAAAATTGCCAACTTTTTATTTATTAAAAATACAATAAGGCTTTTTCGCATATCAAATTCTCACGTTATAGCTGGAAGAGACCTTGGACATCATCTCATCCTGCTTCTTATTTGATAGATGCTTTTTGTAGGACGAGCTCTCAGTAATGTTTTATTTTTAAAAAAATTTTATTGGAGTATAGTTGATTTACAATGTTGTGTTAGTTTCTGCTGTACAGCAAAGTGAATCGGTTATACATATACATATATCGACTCTTTTTTAGATTCTTTTCCCATATAGGTCATTACAGAGTATTGAGAAGAGTTCCCTGTGTTATACAGCAGGTCCTTATTAGTTATCTATTTTATATATAGTAGTGTGTATATGTCAATCCCAATCTCCCAATTTATCTCTCTCCCCTGCCTCCCCACTTTCCCCCTGGTAACCATAAGTTTGTTTTCTACATCTGTGACTCTGTTTCTGTTTTGTAAGTAAGTTCATTTGTACTATTTTTTTAGATTCCACATATAAGTGATATCATATGATATTTGCCTTTATCTTTCCGACTTGCTTCACTCAGTATGACAATCTCTGGGTCCATCCATGTTGCTGCAAATGGCACTGTTTTGTTCTTTTTCATGGCTGAGTAATATTCCATTGTATATATGTACCACTTCTTCTTTATTCATTCCTCTGTCAATGGACATTTAGGTTGCTTCCATGTCCTGGCTATTGTAAACAGTGCTGCAATGAACACTGGGGTGCATGTATCCTTTTGAATTATGGTCTTCTCAAGGTATACGCCCAATAGTGGGATTGCTGGGTCGTATGGTAGTTCTATTTTTAGGTTTTTAAGGAACCTCCATAGTGTTCTCCACAGTGGCTGTATCAAGTTACATTCCCACCAATAGCGCAAGAGGGTTCCCTTTTCTCCACACCCTCTCCAGCATTGGTTATTTGCAGACTTTTTGATGATGGCCATTCTGATTGGTGTGAGGTGAGGTATCATTGTAGTTTTGATTTGCATTTCTCTAATAATTAGCAGTGGTGAGCAGATTTTCATGCGCTTTTTGGCCATCTATATGTCTTCTTTGGAGAAATGTCTATTTAGGTCTTCTGCCCATTTTATGATTGGCTTATTTGTATTTTGATAACAAGCTGCATGAGCAGTTTGTGTATTCTGGAGATTAATCCCTGGTCAGTTGCTTCATTTGCAAATATTTTCTAACATGTTTTGGGTTGTCTTTTCTTTCTGTTGATGGTTTCCTTTGCTGTGCAAAAGTTTTAAGTTTAATCAGGTCCCACTCATTTATTTTTGTTTTTATTTTCATTACTCTAGGAGGCGGATTAAAAAAGATATTGCTGTGATTTATGTCAGAGAGTGTTCTGCCTATGTTTTCCTCTAAGAGTTTTATAGTATCTGGCCTTAAACTTAGGTCTTTAATCCATTTTGAGTTTATTTCTGTGTATGGTGTTAGGGAGTGTTCTAATTTCATTCTTTTACATGTAGCTGTCCAGTTTTCCCAGCACCACTTACTGAAAAGACTATCTTTTCTCCATTGTATGTTCTTGCCTCCTTTGTCATAGACTAGGTGACCGTAGGTGCATGGGTTTATCTCTGGACTTTCTACCCTGTTCCATTGATCTGTATTTCTGCTTTTGTGCCAGTACCATACTGTTTTGATTGCTGTAGCTTTGTAGTATAGTCTGAATTCAGGGAGCCTGATTCCTCTACCTCTGTTTTTCGTTCTCAAGATTGCTTTAACTATCCAGGGTCTTTTGTGTTTCTACACAAATGTAAAAGTTTTTATTCTAATTCTGTGAAAAATGCCATTGGTAATTTGATAGGGATTACATTGAATCTGGAGATTGCTTTGGGTAGTCTAGTCATTTTCACAATATTGATTCTTCCAATCCAAGAACATGGTATATCTCTCCATCTGTTAGTGTCACCTTTAAGTTTTTTTTCATCAGTATCTTATAATTTTCTAAGTACAGGTCTTTTGCCTCTTTAGGGAGGTTTATTCCTAGGTATTTTATTCTTTTGGATGCAATGGTAAATGGGATTGTTTTCTTAATTTCTCTTTCTGATCTTTCATTGTTAGTGTATAGGAATGCAAGAGATTTCTGTGTATTAATTTTGTATCCTGCAATTTTACCAAATTCATTGACGAGTTCTAGTAGTTTTCTGGTGCCATCTTTAGGATTTTCTATGTAAAGTATCATGCCCTCTGCAAACAGTGACAGTTTCACTTCTTCTTTTCCAATTTGTAGCCCTTTTATTTCTTTTTCTTCTCTGATTGCTGTGGCTAGGACATCCAGAACTATGTTGAATAAAAGTGGCGAGAGTGGACATCCTTGTCTTGTTCCTGATCTTAGAGGAAATGCTTTCAGTTTTTCACCATTGAGAATGATGTTTGCTGTGGGTTTGTTGTATATGACCTTTATTATGTTGAGGTAGGTTCCCTCTATGCTCACTTTCTGGAGATTTTTTATCATAAGTGGTGTTGAATTTTGTCAAAAGCTTTTTCTGCATCTATTGAGATGATCATATGGTTTTTATTCTTCAGTTTGTTAATGTGGTGTATCACATTGATTGATTTATGTATATTGAAGAAACCTTGCATCCTTGGGATAAATCCCACTTGATCATGGTGTATGATCTTTTTAAGGTGTTGTTGGATTTGGTTTGCTAGTATTTTGTTGAGGATTTTTGCGTCTATGTTCATCAGTGATATTGGTATGTAATTTTCCTTTTTTGTGATATCTTTGTCTGGTTTTAGTATCAGGGTGATGGTGGCCTCATAGAATGAGCTTGGGAGTGTTCCTTCCTCTGCAATTTTTTGGAAGAGCTTCAGAAGGATAGGTGTTAACTCTTCTCTAAATGTTTGACAGAATTCACCTGTGAAGCCATCTGGTCCTGGACTTTTGTTTGTTGAAAGTTTTAAAATCACAGTGTCAATTTCAGTAGTTGTGATTGGTCTGTTCTTTTTTTTTTTTCTTCCTGGTTCAGTCTTGGAAGGCTGTACCTTTCTAAAAATTTGACCATTTCTTCTAGGTTGTCCATTTTACTGGCATATAGTTGCTTGTAGTAGTTTCTTATGATCCTTTGTATTTCTGTGATGTCAGTTGTAACTTCTCCTTTCTCATTTCTAATTTTATTGATTTGACTCCTCCTCTGCCTTTTTTTCTTGATGAGTCTGGCTAAAGGTTTATCAATTCTCTTTGCCTTCTCAAAGAACCAGCTTTTAGTTTCATTGATCTTTGCTATTGCTTTCTTCACCTCTATTTCATTTATTTCTGCTCTGATCTTTATGATTTCTTTCCTTCTACTAACTTTGGGTTTTATTTGTTCTTCTTTCTCTAGTTGCTTTAGGTGTAAGGTTAGGTTGTTTATTTGAGATTTTTCTTGTTTCCTGAGGTACGATTGTATTGCTATAAACTTCCCTCTTAGAACTGCTTTTGCTGCAACCCATAGGTTTTGGATCACCGTGTTTTTGTTGTCATTTGTCTCTAGGTATTTTTTGATTTCCTCTTTGATTTCTTCAGTGATCCATTGGTTGTTTAGTAACACATTGTTTAGCCTCCATGTGTTTGTGTTTTTTACAGTTTTTTTTTCCTGTAATTGATTTCTAATCTCATAGCATTGTGGTCAGAAAAGATGCTTGAAATGATTTCAATTTTCTTAAATTTACGAAGGCTTGATTTGTGACCCGTGATGTGTCTATTCTGGAGAACGTTCCATGTACACTTGAGAAGAAAGTGTATTCTGTTGTTTTTGGATGGAATGTCCTATAAATATCAATTAAGTCTCTCTGGTCTAATGTATCATTTAACGCTTGTGTTTCCTTATTTTCTGTTTGGATGATCTATCCATTGGTGTAAGTGGGGTGTTAAAGACCCCCAATATTACTGTGTTACTGTCAATTTTCCTTTTTATGGCTGTTAGCATTTGCCTTATATATTGAGGTTCTCCTATGTGGGTTCATATATATTTACAGTTGTTATATCTTCTTCATGGATTGATCCCTTGATCATTATGTAGTGTCCTTCATTGTCATTTCTAATTTAAAATTCTATTTTGTCAGATATGAGTATTGCTACTCCAGCTTTCTTTTGATTTCCATTTGCATGGAATATCTTTTTCTATCCCTTCACTTTCAGTCTATATGTGCCTCTAGGTCTGAAGTGGATCTCTTGTAGACAGCATATATATGGGTCTTGTTTTTGTATCCACTCAGCCAGTTTATGCCTTTTGGTTGGAGCACTTAATCCATTTACATT